TTTATAGACATTTCCATTGATTTGAAGGCTAATATCTGTTTCACTGGTGTTGAAGGCTATCTGAAAAAAAAAAAATCGATTTTGCATTTCCTCGACTAAATTTTCGATCCTTTTTCGAAAGCACTTCAAATCATCGTAATAACATTTATCTTCTGCCTTCGCTTGTACTTCTAGCATTCAGAATTTATCCTATGCTGTTCCAGTGAGTTCATTTCCTTGTCTGCCTTATTTATGCAATTATTTCATTCCTTTCTTTACTACGAAAAATGTCACTGTCAGACCTAGGGCCTGCCCAGTGATATGAAAAAATGTGACATCTCGAAACTCAAAAAAGATTCCCGCATCCTGCTCTTTACAAACATTTCTCGTTCCAACATACACCAAAAATTAAGAAGATACTATCGCTAAACATCAAAGACCTCAAAAATTTCTTCACTGAAGGCAAGAAGCTTTCTAACTTGCACTCTCAGCGATGAAGCTTTTCTGCTTGCACTGGTTGAAAAAGCAAAACGACGAACATCGGAGGCTAGCAAACGAAAAAACAATAAAGGTTTACCCATGAGTCGACCAAAAAGTGAAATTCCGACTCAGTCAAAATTTATTATGCCATTTTCTCGCAAAAAGCGCATAAAAATGATGGAAAATGGGAAGATAGTATTGCAATAGGTGTACTAAAACAACAGTTTTACCTCCAGGACCCGTGAGTCGAAATTGCTGTATGCAACCCACTGATTTGAGTTATCTTTCCAGAGCCAGTGCGGCGTCGGCACATCGCTCAAGGTACTTGTGGAGCGCAGTATAACGCTGTCTATTTCGAATATACCATCTGTTGGCAGACTCGGCAACAATTCACTGCAAAGAAGCTCTTCAAACTACCGCGCTTCTGTGGACAATTCAACATGAAGCAGTTCGTTACATTCAAATATAGACACGTTGGAGCAACACTGCTAGGCTTACCCGGCAAGATAGACCAATTCCTGCAAATGCTGAGGGGGACGATTAGCAATCTCAACGGCTGCCGAATCACACTCCTTTGCTCCAACGATCAGAAATTTAATTGTTCGGGCGAAATCTGAAACTCTGCTAGTAGTGATGGTGCACGATCGCCTTGCAGAATTCTGCAAGCAGTAACTTTTGGGGGTTTTTTTTTCTTTTTTTAAATAATTACGAAGCTGTACAACAGGACTGAGCGAGAACTAAGTCCTCTTGTTCTGCTGAAACGAAAAAACCACCAGTACGTTGAAAAAATAAATCAAGGCGTCAGGATGAAAGAAGACCGAGGACAAAAATTTGGACAATACCCGCTAAAATGAACCACAAACTCCTTAAAAAACAATTATAGGTGTCCCGAAATTTTTGGAATATGCCGTTTTTATGGTAAATCAGGTGCAAAAATGATTGCCAGTAGCAGTAACTACCAAAAAAGTTATCACAGCTCCTTCCTTCAAGGATTGCTAGAGGCGAGCTGATGAGAATTACGACTTCCGAAATATATCAGCAACAATTTATTGACCGGACAAGTAGCAGTTTCTTCAGTGCAAAATCGAACTCGACTTCTGAGCATGATATCAGCGTCAGCTGTCAAGACCAAACGTGTGACTTTTGACAGACGCCATGAGGAGGGGGAAGGAGGGAAGAAAGAACGAGGGAGAAACTAGAGCGCCTCTCCTTGGACATTTCGGGTACCAATTGTTTTGTTGCGGACCATACCGTGGTACATCCCCGGAAAATTTCAACTCCCCAGCTTCTCTGGTTTCAGAGTTAGCCACTTTCGCGCCAAAAACTTTCACGGGGCCGTACTTGAGAACCACGCATGCCCGGGAGCTGAATTTGATGAATTTAAGCTATACATTTGCTATGAAAATTCCCGAAGGTGGCTGTGCGGTTAATAAGGTTGCCCGATTTCCCACGGAAGGTAACGATACTCATACCCCAGGAGACACATGCTTGATGAAGAGTACTAGAGAAACAGAAAAAAAAAAGCCGTTGCTCACCCATTTTAACAAGTGCTACAGCCAGATCGCTACATTTTGAGGCCATCGTACGCAACATTCGCACCAATGCCTGGAATGTATTTGGGCCCACAGCACATGGCTGTACGATGAGCAGCTGCTGCACATTTTTGAGCAGTGCATGATTCTGACCCGCTATTTCGCGCAACTTATCCACATGATTGCGCATATTGTCCACAAGTCGGCAGAACAGAACACAAACCGATTCCAAACATCTTTTATCCTAAAATCAAACATTTTCAGGTACTTTTTAGTAATTAATTTCCTTTTTTTTTATTTAAAATAACATTATTACGGCCATCCCACTCAAGAAATCCGAAGTGCGCAACCAACTTTGGCAAACCGCGCCAAAAATAGAACTTTCATTTTTACGTTCCATCTGTTCAAACGCCAAGAAATATCAAAAACAGAAAAATCGTCCGACAATCAAGTCCTGGATCCGTACGTCACTGCCTTAAACATAGCAGTAATGAAGGGGTGGGCTTGGTCCTTCTGGATCGGCATTTTAAGGACATCGATGATGCTGTGAAAATTGCGCCAGCCGATAGCCCATCGATGCTACCTCTGGCTAAAGATTGTAGTGCATGTTTATTTCCCGTCCCGTTTCGAGATAGACGCAACTGTCAACTTCTTCCAAGTTCAAGCAATCTATTTCCTCCTCAAAAGTGTACCTCTATTTTCAAGACATAAAAAACTTGAAAAAATAGTGTGGATAACAAAATCGTTACCTCAACGAGGAGACGTTGTGTGAGGTCAGCAAGTGAATCGCGCACTTGAGGAAAATCATTGGCCGTCACATATGTCGCACAATTCGCAGCTATTTGAAATGCTAAACGT